TTCAGTACAGAATCTTCAGTCTTTCAAAGGCACAGTTCGCGATAATTCAATGGGCGGGTAAGTCAATCACGTGTCCGCCTCCCATTCGATCTCACGTCAGGCTGTTTGACGTGACATCGAATGGGAGGCGGACACGTCATTGACATACCCGCCCATTGAATTNGGGCAGAAGTACCTCTCTAAACGATCTTTCCTCTATTTCAATGACGTTATTATCTTATCTTTAGTGATTCTTTCGCTGAATATTGAGCTTTTACTAGCGCAATTTTTCTCGGGTTTTATCAACCTATCGGGTCGCCAACATTTTCACGATAAAGCGTGGCGATGCCACGACTTGTTCTGTACGCGCTCTACCTTCTTGGTAGGTTTCGGCTACGTCATTCATTGCAAATGTAGTTTCAGTTATTGTAAAAAAAAGTTTCTGAAAGGATCGGTAAGTGCCATTCCGCTTGAATACCTCATCTCATTTTCTGACAAACACCGTCACGAAGGGCTTTAGAATATTTCAATGCAGTTATCACCGGCTCAGATCTACACTTACCACCATGTAATCATTGGAACAAGATGTTGCTCACTTTCCAAGGAGACCATTTCTTTTCCTAAGTCCCTTTTTTAGCCGACAACCCACACAGACTGAATTCTACAGCAAACAATGTAGCGACACGAAATCATCACGAGAAGTAAACGGTCAGAACTCCCATTCAGGAAAAAAGGAACAGGCATGGTGTGCCGTAAAAACTGCGCCACTCAGCCCTGTTTCTCATACTCCAGCTACTTGCTTTTACCACTAACAGCGAACGGCACCATATGCAACGTCCTGGGAGCAGATCCCGAATTAAACTCGCCCACACACTTTTTTTCTGTATGGGCGAAACTACTATGGAGACTGGTGGCCTTCATGAATAGCAGTTGGGACATTGTCGGGTAGAAAAGCGACTTCGACAGGGCATTGTAGGGGCCCTAAAACCGGCATGGCCGTGCACACCCGAGAAGGACCGTGTTATGACCGCCTTCTTATTGTTAGGGCTATACCTTTCACAATGAAGCGTTGGGACGGCGACAAACAGTACTAGCTTGCGGGAGATACCCAGACGATTACAAATACAATCTCGTACAACCTCTTTTCTTACTACTTTTTTGAAGCCTTTTAGTTCTTGAAACTCGCAAATTTTCCCGTTTTCTTCGCCATTTCACTATTCTTACGTTAAGTTCCATTAATTCACTAACCTAGATACCTCAAAATTACCGTAAACTGTGTCTTCGAGAGGAAAGGTAAATATGTAGAGCATATACTCATAGAAGGAAATTTTTATTCGAAATTACTAGTATGCTAAGGACTCAGTACTCATCGACACTTTCAGGGGCTGCTTACATTTGCAATGCCAGCTTTTCGTGTACCACGGCAGACAGTAGCCATTACTCTTGTACTCGTGACGTAATTCTAGCCATTGATGCCACATCAAATATGGTAACGAAAGACAATATCCGCGCGGTGAGTTTTTCTTCGTGATGGAAGATGCACAGACCGATAGATGACTCATTTGACTGATAGCAAGAAATTTGCACAACACTACACTGCACAACACAACACTTTGATAAGACGACGAACGCGACAAAGCTTGAGCACCTTGAAAAAAAAAAGAAAGAAAGACGGACTAACAGAACCAAGTCGGCAACGGGCACATTATCTCGGGTATGGGTCATGAGCTTCGATTTACGGTTAATTGAATATACAATAAGAATACTTTACTGGTAGTCATTGAGGGCGTGCATAGAACAGAAAAGGTCTCCTTGGATAAGAAACGACCATTAAGTGCGTATGCGTATCTTCAATAGATCTCACCGGAGATCGCGCGCGAATTCGCCGCATGCGATGTGCGGCAAATTCGCGCGACCAAAAGCCAAACCTAAAGGCCGATATTTGTAATCGAATGACGTTTTATTATGTGATAAGTATAAGCCATGAAAAACCGAGTTTAGTTCCTTAAAATACAACCAGCTCCAAGAACGTCGTCCCTTCAAAATCACGCTTTGAGACTTAGCTAATTTGATGGTAAAGAAGAGCGACGGAACTTCACTTCTGTCCGTCCCTCCTTTTTACCGCTACAAGTTGTTATTGCAGGAATTCGACTTTATCGAAAACTGGATTCTTCCGCGGCTTGACATCCGTAAAGGGTTCGTGGACGTTGGAGTAACCGCATACGGTAGGATAATTAGAATCATATTCCATTTTTTCTTACTATGAACTAATCAGCAATGAGCGTTGAAGAAACGTAAAAAAAGGTTATTTCTGGGAATTTCCCCGTGAGCGTTCCACCTACCGATGGAAATCGGCACAAACTCACTGTTCCACCCTGTCAGTGATTATGCCATAGACGGGTGTGTACAGCTAAACAAGCCCCTTAGGTCCGTGGACCTCAGAACTTGACGTTAGGGTGTTTTTCAGCTTCAAATTGAACCCGCGATTGGAACCGGGGCAGAGGGAGACGTAAGCATTCAGTCGAAAGCGGCATCTTTTGTCTTTACTTGCTATCATTGGGCTTCTTTCGTTGACAAAAGCCAAGCCGAACCTGCAGATGCAATGTCCGCCATACTGTACTAGCTGAAGCTCGGGTTCGGAGCTTCTTGCCAAATGTTTGATCAGTTGTGTATGCAGGCTATTAAAAAGGGAAATCTTGTTACGTTACAAATGGGACAGATGAAGACTGGCGTAAAACTGACGCGGTCAACATCTCCTTGAATAACATTTACATTACTCATATTTCCTGACTCATTCAGTACAGAATCTTCAGTCTTTCAAAGGCACAGTTCGCGATAATTCAATGGGCGGGTAAGTCAATCACGTGTCCGCCTCCCATTCGATCTCACGTCAGGCTGTTTGACGTGACATCGAATGGGAGGCGGACACGTCATTGACATACCCGCCCATTGAATTATCGCGAACTGTGCCTTTAAAGGCACAGTTCACGATAAAAATAGTTTCTGAGATTCCCCCACAGGATGAATTTGAGGCTTCCTGTTATACCATATCTGGCACTATTAGGTTGGAAAACGGCCTAGTTAGGGAGTTATAAATTCTCAAAGATTGGCCCGTGTGTGCCCTCGGACGAGTTTCACCGGCATTGTAGAGTCTCCACCGATCACAAGGGAGCCCATGTAGAAAGTTCAAACAAGTTGTCATGACCCATAGCGACAGTGAAAGACAGTTCTGTACAGTTCTGGCTTGATGTAGTCAGCTCTTTGCGCAATTGCAATAATTGAAATCTCGACGGAATATCCCTTCCATTTTATTTCCGTCATGGCAATCTCGTCCAAGCTCTATTTTCCATACTTTTGAGGAGCCTTATTTCTCGCAAAATCGGCGAATTCTCTTGCTTTCTTCACTGCCGATGTACTATTCTCAATCTATACTTCCGCTTTTCGAATAAAAACGGTACCTCAAAATTGTAGTGAACTGTGCCTTTAATAGAATTTACCATCAATACACATCCCAACCACTGGAAAGTCAAACTGGGTAAAGAGATTAGGCGATTTTAAGATGTGACTGTTGAAGGTACTGGCTCAACCACCATTTATGACTTCAACTACAATAGACAGCAAATATGTGACAATATGGAAAAACTCTGGAATAATGTCGACATCGATTCGGCCAGTAATGTACCGCTGTCAAGGTGAGGAGAAAGGTTTTCCGAACCAATGATAAGTTTTGATAATACGAAGCATGGCTTGCGGAAAATGCTCACATCCAAACAGAGCTAGGAAAGTCTTGTTAGGGTCTTGAATGAGTGCGGGGAGCGTAAAGCATAACTGAGGGTTGGAATTCTGGGTGAGCCCGAAAGTCATCCCCAAAAATCAGCTAGGAATAGATTAGGGATTTATAATGCTCCAAGTGTTCTATCGCTGATTACTAGACTTAATTATGACAGTTAGTTCGGTGTTATTTCGTAACTTCCAAACAACTCCTTGTAAAGAATCCTGAACAACCAAAAGGAGCATCAATAAAATGATTTTTCAGAACGATCCGGAACTTGTTCAACAATTTTGGTTTTGACTACACATCGCTTGTACTATTCACAGGTGATAGGTAAGTGCACAAGGGTGCAGATATTGTCTGTTCATTTGGGCAGTTTTCAGGTGCCACAGTCCATGCTGTCCAGCTCAAAAATTAAAATTCAACAAATTTAACAGAGGGCCTACTACCAAAGTTCATAACAGTTCTGGCAAAAGGCCAGACAGGCAGACATTTAAACCTTAAGACAGACGAGGAGACAAACAAGCAGCCAGAAAGACAAAGAAAGACAAGCAGACAGACAGACAGAAAGAAAGGCAGACAGATAAACATACAGACGGACAGACTGTCAGACAAACAGGAAGACAGAAAGACAGGAAGGCAGATAAACAAACAGAAACACAGACAGACAGATAGACCGACAAGCATACAGAGAGACATACATACAGACTAACAGACAAGCAGACGGACAGACTATCAGATAGACAGACAGACAGAAGGACAGACAGAGAGATCGATAGGAAAATTAGATAGATAGATTTGACTGAAGGATAGATAAGAGATCTACATACGCTTACAGAGAACAAGCCGACGTGGATGCTGCTGGAGCTCAAGTGGAATTTTACATTGAAAATCGGTTGGCGTTGAACTTCTCCGTTGTCGTAGTCAACTATGGGAACTGCTCGTTTAACAGTTGGCCTCAGATGGTGAGGTTCACTTGTGGCCCTGACTCAAAATTAAGACTTTGCATAAGAAATCCATTCAGCACACAAACACGTATGACGCCAAGACCATCAATGTCGACCAGCTGTCGAATTACGTGGACGATTCTATTTGTAGTAAGTAGTTTCCCAATATTTGTATATGATTTTCCTACAGTAGAGGACTCTGAGCATAAATTACGTTTATTAGATGGTGATTAACCCGAACACAGCAAAACTATGCAAGATGTATTTCCCAATGCTTTGGAGATGTCAAGAAAACGTCAACATCCACAAATCCCAAACGAAAACGTGCTCTAGAGCGAACTTTTGTCCTACAGCCATATTTTGTGGGACGGCCTTAATAACTTAGGAGCTTTTCAAATCCCTTTTGTGGTATATCGATGTGGGTGAGAAGGAGAAGGTTCCACCTTATGATAAGGTGGTGAATGGCTACTACGCACGCTTTTTCAGCACCTGTCTACCCAACTACTCAAGCACCTACCGTAACAACTACAGTATCCAGTACCGTAAGCACCACAGGATCTGGGACGAGCACAATATCTACAACGGGTTCTAGGAGCAGGAGTGGCACAACTACACGCTACGACGACAGTACATCTGGTACAAACTTCAGTTAGTTACTGGGACTGCTGGTTAAGCTTACCTTATTCTGAATAATAAAGCTTAAGTAAATATAAACCTTTGGAATTCTAGAGATCATCTAAGGACCCAGTGACCCTCAAGAGCTATCATTACAGCACCTTCTGATCCTTCATCCACTCCTCTACCTACCATACCTGAACACCTCACGACAACTGCCAATATCCAGCCAACACCAGAGCCCACGCCTACTGTACCCAGTTTACCTGTAGCGAACATCAACAACACCGGATGCAACTGCGTTCTGAAAACTGTCTGGCTTGACGTCTTTCTTCTTATGGAGGCTACCACAGCCATGACTCCTGCTGGAATAACCTCAGTCAGTTTAGTGAACTTTCTCTTTAGAAAAATTCAAATTCCCATCCGTTTCGAACCTGTTTTTGTTGCGTTCGCGATGATTATCTTGTTGATTTGCTCACAAAAGTAAGGGTAAAAAGAACAAATCGTTTTTTTNTTTTTTTCATTGAGGAAAAACAATACGCACTAGAAAGCGCTAGTAGTACTTGATGAGTTTCGTCTGTCAGATTCCATAGTAAGATGGCATTTAGAACATCCAAGAAGAAAAAAAAATTAGCAATTCGTCTGATTCATAGTGACATACACGGCAGTACGACAATACGGGAAATATCGCTGTGATCATCATGACCTGGTCCAAGTTCGGTACTGCTGAGCTGCTCCACACCGAGCCTAACGTGATGTATGCATGTTAGAGCATCGTTCGGTGCAGAGTATCTAAGCAGTCCCGAACTTTGCCCAAGAGTACCAACGTCGACATCGAATATGACTGAACTGGAGTCCAGATGACCGAGTATTGAAGTAGCCCGATATCACCACCTTGACTTGTACTAACAATGAGACTGAAGCTGAAACCTTCCACAGTGTTCGCTTTTTGACTAGCTCCTCCAATTCCATTCCTGCGCAGCACCACTGCTGCTGATTCCTAGTAATGGAGTTGAGAGATCGGATCCTAGCTGAGCCCATTTTCTCCCTTGAAAATACGGTAAAGATATTTTATCAAGTAATTTCATCAACAACTGTCCCCATCCTGATCCAGACGGCCATGTGATCCCAGTATACCTCGCTTGCCAGCAGCCTTTTTTCACTTTTTATCTATTCTCAGCAACTGCGGTTGACAATGGCGCTCCACCCCGGTGCTCTTGAAACCAAAACTCTCTAGAGGTACAATGGAGGTGGCAATTTTATTAATGCCGATTAAATTCCAGGCAACTGACTACGTCGTGTCAGCATTCACAAAAGTTACCGTTGGACAAGCTGAACAATACCAAACCCGATTTGGAGTTATTCGTTACGCAAGTAGTGTGGATCTGATTGCTGACCTGAACGTTTATACTTCGACAGCAGATCTATTCGACCTTTCAATATCNTCTTTGAACGAGACCGGCACCAATATCGAAGGGTAAGAGATTGCGTAGGCTACCGAAAAGCGTATATAAGTGGTAGATTCCCAACTGGCGGCCACTCAATTGGCACCATTCTAGTAATAGGTACCTTCAGGAAGAACTTTATTCTTTCAAAGCCTTGCAGAGGAACGAAATATATTGAAAATGACCAGAAGTGATCAAAATCTTATCCTTAAATTATCAAGTAGAGCCTGAAAATAATGCTCGCCTTATTAGGGCTCTGAAAAACTACAAAACCTTCCGCTAACCCTTCGATAAGAATAGTCCGGCTGGATCTAGCGAGGTGAAATTGTAGAGTAGCTCAAAAATGGTGTTCCTCATGACCAATCGCTCATGTCGTGTATACAAATAGAACGGATCCAACTGAACTGAGTGAAATATGAGTACTTTCACCATTGTGACAAACCGTACGCTTTTGAACTGGATTTCTAAGACGGATCTTGAGCTTTGATCTGACTCACTTGATGTGAGTTGCATTCAGTTATTTTCGTATTTTTCTTCTCATCAAATCCCTGGAAGGGATTATATTTTCAAAGGGGATAGCTACTAGGGCAATAAGTATGTAGACGAATGAAGCACGACCGAAGCTTTCCTTATCTCATGGGATCTCCGTTACCCTTCACGGACAACCATGCTTGCCATACTGGTACGGTAGCGCGCTACATATTACATCAAATGGGACAAATAACTATCCAAATCAACTCTTGACCTTGCTTTCTCAGTCCTCCGCCGTCTTGTGAAAACGATTCTTTCTCTAGAATTTCAACCCGGTACTGAATATTGAAGGGACAGGTTGACTAGCAAAGCCTCCATGATTTGGATTCATTCCAGAGCTATCCGTTTGGCAACATCGAAATTTGCGTCTACCTCGCATCGCCGTGCTGCTCGTCCGGTTCTTATAATCGTCGGAAGCACTTACAAGTTTGCTAGTTATTATGAATTTCCTTAGAATGATTTTCAAATTAGTGTGAGCCAGGCAATAGTAACCCTTTTTGCCAAACCGGTTTTAGAGCCCTTACTACGCCTTGTCGAAGTCGTTTTTCGATCCAACAGTGTCCAACTTGCTCTAGTTGAGGGCCACGGTTCATCCTAGGCGAGAATCTCAGAGACTGCTCTTTTGTGAACTGTGCCTTTATGATTACTTGAGCGCAACCAGAACTACCTAATTCAATGTGGTATGCGAAGCTATGGGAGAAAATACAAATAACATGGCATTTTCGATACTCTTTAGTAAAAGTGTTAAGAAGCGGTGGATACAACGATCCCACACAAGCAGCAAACGAATTCCGTGAGGATGGCGGCACAATCATCACCATCGGTAAGTTAGAGAAGAACTAAAGCATTCTATACAAGTAAGTTTCGGTGGAAGTCCGCCCCGAGACGAACATCCATTGTATTGCGATGAAAGTAATGTTGTCTATTTGTCGAATTCAAACCACCCATAGAATCGAGATGTTCCTATCTTTGATCCATCAAAACCCATGACGGATGAGCTGAGCGAGCAGTTCAAATAGTGTTTCACTTCTCCTCCGGTTAGCCCAGTAAGAGCTCGCTTCCACAGCATTACTCGCAAATGGTGATATGGTATTACATGAAGTTTAGGGAAGTTTTGCAGAATATGCACAAGAACACGGACTAGCAGTGCCATTACTGCGAACGCTGGCTTCACCAAATTACAATCTGACAAATAAAAAGGATGATGGCACGATGTTGCGAGCTGATGACTTGCGTAATCTGCTTTGTGAAGGTGAGATGCATTCCAGTAAACCTGCTCCTCTTCCCCTCACAGTCTGCAAACTGGCATCCTCGTTTATCCTTCTCAATGAGGTCATATATTTAGATGTCATATTCGTTACCGTCTTCGAAGCGACTTTTTCTCATGGGGACAAGAATTTTGGAAATGAAGTCCAGTAAACTTCTTTTCTTCTATAGGTGATTCTTGGAAGTGTGCCTTGGAGACCTCTTGATCAAAGCGATGTCCTTGACAGATCGGAGGCCGATCTGGAAGCCACTCCTTCACAGCGGTGCATGACAAAATTCAGACAGGCAGCTGTCGAGCTAATCGTTATGGGATCTATCTCCTTACTCTGTTTTCCCTCCCTGTCTCTGGTTCTTTCTCTATATTATCGGAGGACCTAATGGAGTTCTGTTGAAAACGAAGGTTAGCCCAGTCGCAGTAGGTATCCATATGTTTCCTTTACCTTTTACCCTTCCTCCTGATATTCGCTTTTCCGACGAATTCCCGAAGGTAAAGAGAAGAGATACATAGGCAAGCTGGTTTATGATCCGGATATCCGACAGAAATTCCTTCGCTCAATACTAATCTCATCGAGCTGGTAAATCCAACGAAACATTGACAAATTAGTAATAGGGTGAGCTCCCATGCCCTTTTTGAATAGCAACACTGTCATAGCTGTTCTCACGCTTTTAGAATTTCACATTCCGCAGAAATAAAATACCCACCTCCTTCCGAGCTGAAGATTACCAATATCGTCGCTGGCCTACTGAGAATATGGAAATTTCAGTGAATATCTTACAAATGCAGCTCGCCGGAGAGCAAATATTTCGAAGCTTCGACTTTTTGACCGTAATTTCCGTAATTTCAGCCAACTGCTTCTGCAGGACGAATTGGAAGCCGTATAACGCAGATAAATGGGATGCACCACAGGGAGGATGTTACTTTCCGGTCGGGATTTCTGCAATTCAGGTTAGTGACTTCGCACGTGGTGTCCAAAAATGTCTTGTGACCGCCAGATACATCACTACCTTGCATCTTGCACAAAAACCAGACACCCACTGATGTCACAATTGAAAAAACTCAGTGACGAGCATGGTGAACGTTACCCGTCACGAATGGCACGGAGTGGCCCATAATCGAATACGAATTTACGACGTGAATTCGTTAGGGATCACCATCCAGGAACAGATCGCAAGATACAAATCGCCCTTTAACACTTCAACCAAACCTCGTTATCAAGTAGTTGCGAGGTGTGCACTCATCACCAACCAAAATCACCTTTTGCGCGTCGTTGCCCTCTCGGTGAGATAGAGTATTTCAGTAATCTCGGAGTTTGGGTTACAGTACAGGCTCTAAAGACAAGCGGTTACTGTTTATATAAAACACGCAAGGGGAGGCCATTTTTTTTCTGTAATCAGTCCATGAACCGATAGAAGAAAGAGCTTGAAAACGCTTTTTTTTATCTGTAAATACTCAGCATCAATTCAGCTCCTTCCCATCTGATGACTGAGTAATTAATGTGGAAAGATGATGCCAGGAAATACCTCTTTTACAGATGTTAGCCAATCGAACTTGTTACCGTGAGAGAGATGCTGTCCTTGCCCTTGATGAAGACGCTAACAAGAACTTTTTCCTTTTGAGCGGTAAGCTTCTGATTGAGCGTCTTATTCTGATCGTCCCCAACACGACAGTTTTTCAGTAGTGCCATTCACGATAAGACTTTAATTTGAGGCTTGGAAGGCTAAGCAAATTACGAATTGAGAAGCCTATATACCGTGACTTCGAGAAGTGCGGTCTGAAAATGGCGTAAAAAAGCAAGCAGAAAAGTCACGAATCCCGCTCATACACCTAGAAGTAGGCGGAAGTGCTGGATTTAGGAGACCTCGAACGCGATCTTTTCATTAGTCGTGATAACGCCATGAGCAAACTTTGTTGAGCCCGAAAGTCCTTTCCAAAACATAGTATGCAAAGCCAATGTAATTAAGGAACTGGGACCTCGAGTGTAGGGTCAAGGTTCGACGAAGGAAGCCAATTTTTCTAGAGAATTGAACATTTCTGCCAATGTTTCATTTCAGTGTTCTCTTCAAAAACCAAATTCTGGTTGGGACTAGAATACGACGGTAGCCAATGGACATGGCCGGGAGGCTACTCGGTGAGTATCACTACAGCTACTGTCCCAACTAAGAAAGGAAAGGCTAAACTCTACTTGAACTAATTTCGAACTAGAGTCCAGCCTTTCCATAGAGTGCCAATAAGAGGTGGAGAATCTGAGATACATCCCAATCTACTCCGCTCTTATTCCAATAAGGGCCCAATGAATAGGGCCCAATGAATTGTTTAATCAAACATCTGTGTGTGACGCTTACGCTCGGTAAATGAGATATTTTAAGGCTGGCTACACAAATTGGGGTCCAGGCCAACCAGATTACAGCAAAGGTAATTGTGCCTACATGCAGCAATATTCTGGATTCTCGTGAGTTTATTCTAATCTATTGTAAAAATCTCTCCATTTCAGCTGAAACACTAGCTCTGACATCAAATTCTTGTATATAAAACAGAAACTCGGTGTGTCTATGTGACGAATTGTTAGTTGGTAGTCCCTCGACTTGTCTGCCCCCTTGCAGAATTTCTACTGGAGGAATACGGTAGCCCCGCGGGAACACTGCTGTTGGCCATGGGAATTCGGGGAAATTCGTAGTGAGCTAGCTCGGAGTTGCTTTTGATCTTGCTCTTGCCCTTGAAAATGGCATCGTAGTCAAACCCAACAAAGGGTGCGTGCCAATATATGCCAAGAATATCCCAGACGTACTTAAATACTGCGAGTTCCATCATGGGGGCATGGGTCAGTGGTTGGAAGAACTGGGCTTTTCAGGATTTGTGACGGAACGTTCCTTCCAACCTAGTATTAGGCAAAAAAAGACAGCTCAACTTAAAAATTCCGTAAGTTCGTAGGGAAAAGCAGTCGTTTTTACAACCAAAGTACAGGGGACGTTTATTTGTAGAGAACATTTTCAAAATTGCTTCTCATTAGAACTTTGCCCGCAAGAGACTTCCGAAACGTCTTGACACACTGACTTAACAAAATTCCAGAGCATTAGAAATACATATGTTCGAATGAGAAGAATCAAATTGTTCAGAAGTCAAGCTGAGTAGCTGAAAAATCGAAAAAACTTCTCCCACGACGTAATGAAATTTTTTTTTCAGATCGGGATGGTTCAGTGATGACTGCAACAACGACCACAATTACATTTGCCAGACTAGGCCATGTGATTCTACCAACTACTGTGCTGCTGAATAAGGCCATGACAAAATCTTTTCGTACAGATATTCGTGCATAAAAAATTTCAGTGAAAAAATGCTAGATCTTTGAGAATCTATGAGAGCGACTTTACTACGGAATTGCTTTCATATTATTCACAATTCTCCTACGAAATAGACTTACCGAGCTGGCGAAGAACATGCGGTTCTCATGGATAAATCACCATGAAACCGGATAAACCAATTGTCCACTCATCCACAGCAGTGAGGGCAGCCCTAAAAAAAACGTTACGATGAATATTATTTACCGACTTGAGGTACCTCATAATAGCTACTCTAAGCTGCGTTTACGCTCGGCGTGAACGAGAAACAGCAGAATGGTCTAGCGCAGCCAACAGATAAAAACTACGTTGGCTCAATGTTAGCAAATGTAAAAGGGGTGTGAATCTCAAGTAGGGTAGACAGAAATGGTACCCGATGACTACCCTATGACTGTTGGCATGTTCCTTCTCCACCTCGAAACTAGATCTCCCAATCTTGATCCATGAGATGTTTTCCTGCAATGAGTATGTCCGCAGCCCTATGTTGGCGTTTCCTTTTTGCAAACTGAATCTTAGCCATCTCTCGATCGATGTACGGCGAGAGGAGAGTAAAGGAGGGGAAGGAGGAAGAGAGATGTTAGTGAAGAAAAAAGTTTGGTAGCAATGTTTAGGTTTCGAAAACTGGTCAACATAAAGTTCACTAAAATTACAAAACGTGAAGAATTTGGTAGGACATTTGTTCAAAGCTGATTTGAGGCCTTCACTGAGCAGGAAATATGAAAAGGCTTCTGGTTCGAATCGATTAAATACAGAAAATCTGGCGCTGGTTCTAGCTGGCAAGGAAATTCCTTAGGAAATTTATCATGTCGTCCTTTCTTTAACCAAAATTTACCCTGTGAGGATATTAATTTCGTTTCAAATCGGGCATCAGTCGAAAAGTACCACGCCATACCGTGAAACTGTATGATTTGCTTTAAGGATATCTAGTAGGTAACAGGTTCACATTTAGTCTTGAAAGACTCAGCTCGAGCAACCAAGTAAAAGTTGAAAAATCAACTCCTTAACCCAAATCATTATTCACTTCACAGCTTCCAATAATCTATGGTGTAACATCCATCTATATTTACGACCTCCATAGTTTCTTCTAAACTCTGAGGTAGAACACTTTCGGTTTGCTGCCATGAGTGAGCGTACAAAACTTGGCGAGAAAATCAATTACAAAGGCCAGCAAATTGTAAATGCAAACTCTTGATAGTGCTACCATAGAACGCTGTAAGTTTGTCTGTTGATTTGTCGGTGTGTTTATGTATGTGTCGGTTATTGCTGTGGATGTTGTTTTATGCAACTTACTCTATTGTAAAGTTCTGTTCTTTGTTATGAAATAACTGTCGAGGAAGTAGTAAAGTACGTAAAAATCACTAGCTTCCTTACACAACCTTAAACGATCTTTCAAATGAGGGGAGCTTTGCTACGACATCTTCGAAGCTCGATTATGACATTTTCCTCAATGATGCCTTCAACCATCTATCTTGAAGGGAGGTAATTCGAGGAGTTACAGACTTATCTGCCATTTCGGACACACTCCTTCTACTATGAATTGAACCTAACCGTCCTCCGTCCACAACATGCGACTGCGCGCGATCGGGTGCGGCGAGCGCGACGCGATTATCGGGAAGGAGTTACCACACTCGGGAAGAGGTGATGGGGAATGATCTTTGCAAGGCTCCAATGACATTATTATCTTATCTTTGGTGATTCCTTTGCTGAATATTGAACATTGATTGGCGCAATCTTCCCCGAACTTTATCAACCTATCGAGCCGCCAACAATTTCACGATAAAGGTTGGCGATGCTACGACTACTTCTGAACGCGCTCTGTTTTCTTGGTAGGTTCCGTCTACGTCATTCACTGCAAATGTTGTTCTTTTTCTGCAGAAAACTTTTTTTGAAAGATCGATAAGCGCCACCAGTGCCATATTTTTCATGTTTTAGTGCATTTGTTAAGCTTAAACACTTTTATTCATTTATTTATTTATACACTTCACTGAGTGCGCCACAACTAGCAAATAAACCACCCGACGCCACTGTGCAATGTGGGAATTAGAAAAGATAAGAGTACAAAATCACTGGCATATACCAATAATCAAAAGATGCAGTGCTAAAGAGCGCAACGAAGTTGCTCTTACAGCCAGTGACCGTTGGCTATGGTGCTCTCATTCCGTGAAGAGTCATAGGACCAAGCCGGAACTTCGGCACACGGGTATGCCAACTTCCCACGCGGAATTGTAAGCTACTGGCTGATCGGGAAGAAGTAAGCATTAAATGAACATTTCGAAAGATCAGAAGCGTCCAGACAAACAGGTTGGCCGATGATCAGCAGAACCATTAGATATCCATTTTGAAGGCAATGTCTTCTCAAGAGAGTCCAACACTACAAGAAGGGCTCAGAAGTGATGGAAACTCCAGGTGATCTGAACCCGATCCGAGACTTGGTTTCCAACTGAAGCGTAATTTAGAGACGTAGTATCGGTACCTTGGCTCCGATACCGCTGGAGTTAATTTGCCTCCATGAATAACAGGTGGAACATTATTGGGTCGAAAAAACGGTCTTAACAGGGCTATAAGGGCTTTAAATCCGGTTTAGCCGGCGTACGCATCCAAAAGTGCCGTTATGACGGCATTGTCGTATCTTTCACAATGAATTGTTAGGTCGCCGGTGATTAGTATGTTCATGCGGAAAACACCCACACGGCTGCAGACACATAATCTCGTACAATCCCTTTTCACTACGCCGATTTGTAGGTTTTCTTGGACACTTTGCACTATTCTGCACCTTAACTTTCATCATTTACTTAAGCTAGATACCTCAAAATTACCGTGAACTGTGACCTCGAGCGGGAGTGTAAGTATATGAAGGGACGATAAGAGCCATCAGTGCCATGTTTTTCATGTTGTAGTGCATTTATTTCGTTTAAAAACTTGATCTCACTTTCTAATCAACATCGCCGAGGATGGGCTTCAGAATATGTCGTTTTAACCGGATCAGACAATTCACCCTTCACCTACCCACGATTTATTCGTTGCAACAAGTTGTCATCCACTTGACCACGGCCATTACCTCACTAGCCCCATATTTCTTTGAAAAAAAAAACCGCCGATTTCCATGCTTTCTTCGCCATTTTGCATTATTCTACACCTCGGCTTCTCTCATTTTACTTGAGCTAGGTACCCAAAAATTACCGTGAACTGTGTCTGTGGGCGTGAGTGTAATTATGTGGAGCATATTCCTATAAAAAGAAAATTTGCAGTCGAAATCGTTTATACGTTAAGGACTCGTTGTCAGTGCTCATCGTTACTTTTAGGGACAGCTTACATTTGCGATGGCAGCTTTTCGTGCTACTCAGATGACAACAGCCACTACTCTTGTTCTCGTCACGTAATTCTAGCCATCGATGCCACACAAGATATGGTAACGAAAGACAATATCCATGCAGTGAGTTCTTTCTATATGTGCCCAGACCAATCGATGACTCATTCGAACGATAGCAGGAAATTTGCACAACACTTATGATAAGACGACGAACGCGACCGGCCTTGAGCACCTCAAAAAAAGAGGCACATTAACATTGCGTCAAAACCAAGGCGACAACGGCCACACTATTTTGGGTGTGTTTCATGAGGTTCGGTTTCCGGCTGTGAGAATAGATGAGTATAACAAAAGAAACCTTCTCTTCACCGGATCTCACCGGTGCATGCGATGTGCGGCAAATTCGCGCGACCAAGGGCCAGAACTGAAGGCTGTCGTGAAGCCCATGACTTCTTGGCATCTGGGCTGTCACTACACCGCGTACATACTATTCGACGCGCAGCACCGTGGGTATGTGTACGAACGTGCGTCCGAGGATGCGCGCGGCAAACTGAGCGGCGAAGTTCGTAATGATTTGAACGACTTTGGCGCCTATCATTGGGACCCAAATTTGAAATAGAGTGGATTAGGAGGATCATCTGACCCTACTAAACTACTCTACATAGAATTTGTGGCTCGAAAATTGGTGTCAGATCCATACAAACCGTAACGACCTTCGCCGCGCAATTTGCCGCGCGCACCCTCGGACGCACGTTCGTACCGTCCCCCCAGCACCGTCACCATCGACTGCGCCGCCGTCATCGATTGCCACGTGGCATGGGGTGGCGCCGAGTGTGCACTCAACTCCTTGTCATTCAGTGCCATGTCAACGCGCCGAGCGGCTGCTTTTTCTTTTCGTGCGTCGTATCTAGCGTTACCATCGTTATCGTGTAACCTCGACTCAAAGGGATCGGAAGCACTCAGAAGAACGCACTGCCGAGAGAGAACGATTAAAAGAGGCTCCAGGGTCGAGCAGGAGGCTGGAAAGTAAAGAGCTGCCAGCCGTCGCCGGACGGCTGAGGTCACCAGTAGCTCGGGAGTATTGGGAGCACCATGGAGCCTCATCAGCGGGATCAGCGAAGGAACTCGGGCCGCGGAGAGGAGCGGTCCGCGCATGACAACTGTGCGGACACCGCGTCGCTCTCCTTCCCCGAGGGCAGAGAGTGCCGACGACCTCTAAAGAGGTAGGAGCTCGACGCGTAAGACACATATCGCATTTCCTGTCGAATGAAGATAAATGTAATAACTTCTATGTGTATGTTTTTCTCGCAATAACCGTAACCGGACCACGGGCAAGTGTTTCTATATCGCATCTTCCACTATTTGTCGTAGTAGTAATAGTCAATAGTTCATTCGTAGAGATTCATATATGCACATATAGTTATATATTTATATTTATACACGCGACCCGCACGCACAGTTAGACAGGAGCAGTACACGTGCAGGGACGTGGGGAGAAGGCAGTGGATGCCACATCATCTGAGAGCAGTACCCGCAGCACGCAGTTTCTGGCTCTCCGAGATCGAGGGGCTTTAGGCAGGACCGCCTTGTAGTACGTGGCTAGGCGAAACATCAGCGCCCTATGGGAGACCCCTCCGTTCACGACAAAGGCCGATTCTTGTAGAATCGAATGATGTTCACATATGTGGTAAATATGAGCCATAAAAGAACTAAGCTCACATCACTAAAATACACCTAGATTTAGAAACTTTACATCGCCCCTCTAAAACACGCTTTCAAACCTATGTTAGAAAATTCGATGGTGTAAAAGAGCGACGAAATCCCGCTTTCCTCGTTACCATCTTTTTCACTGCTACAAGTTGTTAACTCATTGCAGGAATTCGACTTCATCGAAAATTGGATGCTCCCGCAGCTCGACCTCCGGGACGGGTTTGTGTATGTTGGAATGACCGCCTACGGTAGGTTAACTTGAATCATAAATCATGAATAAATGGTGAAAGCTAACTATTCACAATGTTCTAATCACCAATGAGCGCTGATTGAAGAAACTCTCGAAAGGACTACTTCTGAGAACTCCTTTGGTTCACATATCCATGAAAACCTGCAAATACTCCCTTCCAACTGACGGGCGATTGAAACCGGAAAGACTAAGACGTAAAAGTCATTCAAGGCGTCCTGCTGCTGCCATTAGACTTGTCTAGTTTACAGAAACCAACCGTCACATCCACTGTACTGTACTGCCCCTGGTAAGCTTCTTACACAACGGATCAACAGTTGTGTATGGAGGCCGTTTTGATATAGGGAATCTGGAGGCGCGACGAAATGGATAGAAGTAGACTAGATGATGTTACTGTATTCCTCAGTTACTTTCATATTACCGATGATATCGTTCCCCATCTGAATTCAGGCAGTACAAAATCTCCAGAATTCCAGTCTAGTTCAGTATTATAGGTAAACGTACATATGATTTTACATTCAATTTTATGATATGACTGTTAAAGGTACTCGCTCAACCACTGTTTATGACTACAACTACAATAGGCGGCGACTTTGTTTAAATGTGGAAGAAATATGGAACAGTGTCGACATCGATTCAGCCAGCAATGTATCACTGTCAACGTGAGAAGAGAATTTTTCGGTACCTCGAAAAGTTTCGGTAATACGGAGCATGACTGGCGGTTTCGGAAAATGCAAACATCTGAACAAGCGCAAGAGAAGCTTCGCTAGGATTGTGGATAAGCACGAGGAGCAAAAAGCATAACGGATGGTTGAATTTGTGGGTGAGCCAGGAAGTCAACCCCAAAAACCAGCTTATCGAAAAAAATCAGGGATTAATAATGCTCCAATTGATGTATCGCTGATTGCTACACTCAATTATCACAGTTCGGTAATAGTTCGCTAGCAATTCACAATGAACTTGTTTTTCAGAACGATCCGGAATTTGTTCACCTGGTTTAGTTTTAACCACAGATCGCTTGTTCTATTCACAGGTGATAGGTAAGCGCACAATAGTACAAACATTATCTGCCCATTTGGGCAATGTTCAGGTGCTAGAGTCCATACCAGGGCTGGTAAATTAACAGTTCGGCAATTTCATCAGAGTGCCTGTTTTCAAAATCAGAGCCGTTCAAGCAAAAGGCCAGACAGACAAATATACACACATGAATACAGACGAAGAGACAAACAAGTGAGACAGAAAGAGAGAGAGAAGACATTCCGAAAAGCAGAAAGACCGACAAATAAACAGGCAGGCTGACACAGACAGACAGAGAGACAAATACGCAGGCAGGCAGACAGACAGAAAACGTCTAAAATGAAATCAGGTCCTTTTTTTGATATCTGAATTCTAGCAAATATAGTAAGGAATGACGATTGAATGGTTAGATCAGTTCTACATACGTTTACAGGGACCAAGCCGATGTGGACGCTGCCGGAGCTCAACTGGAATACTACATTGAAAATCGGTTGGCGCTCAACTTCTCCGTTGTCGTAGTCAACTATGGGAACTGCTCGTTTAGCAGTTGGCCTCAAATGGTGAAATTTGTTTGTGGCCCTGACTCAAGACTACGACTAGCCTTAGGAAGTTTATTCAGCACACAAATGCGTACGACGCCAACACCATCGATCTCGACAAGCTGTCAAACTATGTGGACGAGTCTATTTGTGGTGAGCAGTTTCCAAAAGATTTATGTGCGCTTACCTTACAGTAGATGTTACTAGTAGAAACTGAAAGAAAAAAACCTACGCAAGATTGGTATCCCCAGTTTTTGCGGAGACAAACAACCGCAATCCGAGCCTAAGCGGAAACACGCTGTAATGCAAACTTTTGTCCTACGGCCACATTGTGTGGAACGGGATTCATGAATCTTATACGGACCTCTTACCAAGGAGGGGTAGTCTACTTATCTTGGAACTTTGAATGGAGACCCAGATGGATCGATAGAGTTTCGAATGCTGTTCACGAAAATGGAAATTAAAACTGCAAAATGGTTTTCCATAAAAAGTTATGGCGGCTCGAAATTTGCTTGACTCTACAGTAGCACACTTGCATATGCGAACTCGTCGCTTCGTTATCAAGTGCCAACGTGGCCTAGTGGTAGTGGTCTCGCTTTGCAGGTGCTCCAAGAGGGTTTGCTCCCCGCCATCGTCGGCATTTTTGCAGTGTTTTTTTTTCATTTCATTAAAGGCTCTCTGAACCTTTTCTGACATTTGTTTAAGTGAACGCCTTATTTCTGCCTTTAGTTTCTCTCGTCGCTCCTATCCAAGGAAGAACGGTTCTGCACTTAATCAAGTGATTGTATTCCATTTTCGACTCGAAGAAACATTTAATAGCGAGTTGCCAGAGATGTATAAGATGCTTGTGAGGAACACAGCATTAATAGGAGCAGCTGAAAAAAATGGATGCAACACACTTGTAGTTCACTAACTGCGCACATTATACATGATGCTCCTCTACAACCGGAGGCAAAACAGTCATTTGTCTCAAGATTCTTTTGTGGGTGGGTGAGTCTGGGTTTCCAACAACGTACCCTGCCTTGTACCAAGAGCACTGCAACTCTGACCACTAGATTTGGAGCTTTGAAAAATTTTCAAGCCTGAAGAAATGCTGAAAAGTTGAAAGCAGGTGTTCACTTAAACAAATGCCAGAAAAGGTTCAGAGAGCCTTTAATGAAATGAAAAAAAAACACTGCAAAAATGCCGACGATGGCGGGGAGCAAACCCTCGTGGAGCACCTGTAAAGCGAGACCACTACCACTAGGCCAAGTTATCACTTGATAACGAAGCGACGAGTTCGCATATGCAAGTGTACTAATGTAGAGTCAAGCAAATTTCGAGCTGCCATAACTTTTTAGGGAAAACCATTTTGCAGTTTTAATTTCCTTTTTCGTAAATAGCATTCAAATCTCTATCGATTCATCTGGGTCTCCATTCAAAGTTCCAAGATAAGTAGACTACCCCTCCCTGGTTAGACTCCTTTTGTGGTAGACTGATAGTAGAGAGACCAAATGCTTGCTCATCGTCATTACTATCATTTCACCTTATGACGCAGAGGATAAGCACCTGTCTACGCTAGTACTCAAGCATCTACCGTTACAATTACAGTATCCACTACCGACGACAGTATATTTAATACAAGTTCTGGTCAGTGGACAGGGTACTGCTGCTCATGTTTACAATATTTTAAATAGTAAATCTCAACTTAACATAAACTTCGAGAACTCTAGCCATTATAGGAGGAATTAATGCTCACTGGAAGCTATAATTACAGATCTTTCTGGACCTTCCACTCCTTTATCTACCATACCTGAGCAACAAACGACAACTGCCAATATCAAGCCGACACCAGAGCCCACGCCTACGGTACCCAGTTTACCAGTGGCGAACATCAACAACACCGGATGCAACTGCGTTCTAAAAACGGTCTGGCTTGACGTCTTTCTTCTCATGGAGGCTACCACAGCCATGACTCCTGCTGGAATAACCTCAGTCAGTTGAACTAATTTTTTCTCCAGAAAATCGCAAATGCCCATAAAGTTGGTGTATGGGCCAAAAATTCAGCAGCCAATACGATTCACACTGAAACAATTGGAGGTACCGCAATATGTATGGGAAATATCGACGTAATAATCATGTACCTGGAGTAGTTCGGTACTGCTGAACTGCTCCACACCGACTGGCGCTCTAACGCAACATATGCACTTTAAAGCATCGTTCGGTGAAAAGTAGTCAAGCAGTCTCGAATTCTGCCGAACAACACCTGTGCCGACGTCGAAGGTGCCTGAAGTGGGGTCCAGAGCATCGAAATAACCCGATATCACAACCTTGACTCGTACTACGACGACAGCTAATCGTCTTGTCTCAGAAGCACTCCACAATGTCCGCTTTTTAACCATCTCCTCCAATTTCAGTCCCGCGCAGCAGTAGTGCTGCAGGTTTCCAGTCATGGGGTTGGGAAAGAAAGAGTTCTCTCCCTTGTCGTCAGCCGCGTCCTATCATTGCAGCAGCGGCTGACAATGGCCGCCCAGCTCACCACTCATTAAATTTCACAATTTTCTANTATAAATGACAAGTCTACTGAACCCGATTTAACTCCAGGCAACTGACTACGTCGTGTCAGCATTCACAAAACTAACCGTTGGACAAGCTGAACAGTATCAAACCCGATTTGGAGTTATTCGCTACGCAAGCAGTGTGGATCTGATTGCTGATCTGAACTTTTACAATTCAACAGCAGATCTATTCGACCTTACAATATCGTCTTTGAACGAGACCGGCACCAATATCGAAGGGTAAGAGATTTCGGAGTTACCGGAAAAGGATCTATAAGTGGTAAATTCCCAGCCGGGGAACACTTATTTGGTACCATTCCACTGTTAGGGAACTTCAGAAAAATCTCACTGTTTCGGGTTATACTTCGCCTTCTATAAACTGAATCCATCCTATGTCTCGCAGAGGACAATGTATCGAATTCGACCAGAAATGAACAAAATCTTATCCTTGAAGGCACAGCTCACGATAATTATGGGTCCATATTATGACGAACAATGGAAGATAGGATAGTGCGATGATGAGAAGAAGTCCAAAAAAATGAAGGGTGTTCGGATGAGCTATCGTACGTGTGGGTCTTGCTGCGAATAGCTGACACAGCAAGCAAAAAAGTTCTCTGGAATGCCCTTACTCATAAACATAAGTTAAAAAACACAAGTACTAGCAAAAATAGCCCACCTTTTTCAGCCTCTTGGGGTAGAAAATTAAGTAAAGGATCGCAGCAGCAAAAAGAATAACAGAGAATAAAAGAATAGGTTAAATGATCGCGTCTTACTCGGCGATCAGCTGATGTGGGTGGGTCCTAGAGCGTATACTGCAATCTGTATCGCCGCGACACGTCAGAAGTGACAGAGCTCATTCATACTAGGTGCGGGTACTCGCTTGGGGGATGCGGGTACACGCTTTGGGGATGCGGGTACCCGATTTGGGGGATGCGAGTACCCGATTTGGGGGATGCGGGTACCCGATTTGGGGGATGCGTGTACCCGATTTGGGGGATGCGGGTACCCGATTTGGGGGATGCGGGTACCCGATTTGGGGGATGCGGGTACCCGCTTTGGGGGATGCGGGTACCCGCTTTGGGGGATGCGGGTACCCGCTTTGGGGGATGCAGGTACCCGCTTTGGGGGATGCAGGTACCCGCTTTGGGGATGCGGGTACTCACGCCTGGGATGAATGCGCCCACAACGGTCAGAGGCGGGGCATCCGGGCGATTCGGTAACGGGCTCCCACTGTGCCTTTGCTGTTTCGACCAAACAGCGTCCCTACTGTTACCCTTGGGGGCCACTGGGTATTCCTCAAGGGACAACTCAGAAACCAAATTTATCGTGAACTGTGTCTTTAAATTACGAAGTAGAGCCCAAAAATATTGTTCGCCTGGTTGGATTGTGCGAGAACAGAAAACATTCCGCTGACCCTTCGCTAATAATAGCCCGGCTGGATACAGCGAAGTGAAGTTGTCTATTGGACCTGTATTAAGGTAGTCGAAGGCCTCGTGAAAAAACGTTCATAATAAACCGCAAATCAGCTGAAAAATGTTGCTCTTCATGACCACTTGCTCATGACAAGTATAAAAAAGGAGCGGGTCCATTAGAGTCGACTAAAATATGGGTAACTCCAACATTCTAGCACACCTTTGGATTGATTTTCTGAGATGGATGTCGATTCTAAAATGATGTGAGTTGCATTCAGTTATTTTCATACCAGTTGGCTACGCACGCTATCGCGTGTGCTAGAGGCTCTAGCCATGAGGAACAGAGCCGCCTAAGCTTCTGATTTTCGTTCCAGACGTTTGTCATCGAGTCCTTGCTAGTATTAGCATGGTATACATAGCATGGCTAGTTGATCATTGCGTGCTCCACTAACAAAATGAAACGGCCCAATAGCAAAGTTCATTGGCGGCGTCTAGATTTCTCAAAAGCATGACGATTGTGCTTTTCTTTGAAAGCAAATTGGCATTCCCGTCGGCGTCAAAGAGTTTAAGTATACCGAGAAAGGCTGGTTACTTTGTCCCTCGCTTCATCGACACTTCTGTACCTCTCAGCCCAGGATTACCAACTTGCAGGCGATCCGAAACGTCTTGATTTGAATGGTCCAATATTCTTCGGTGCTACTATATCACACTTACATAGTTGTGGAGGGGGATCTCTACAGGGTACGCACCTGTGTAGTCGGGGTAACTGTGGAGGTCGTTCATAACTTATTTTCAAGGCAGGCGTATCCAAAATTAAATACCTCTGCAGTCCATGTAGTCGATGAAATTCTGTGTAGATTGAGCTGTGTGGGGTCATAAAGAGTACTCCTGTGAAGTGGGGCAGTGTGTGGCCATTAATTTTGAGAAGATACAACCTTTGGGCATCTGAAGAGCTTTGCAGATCTCTACATGGTGTGCACCTGTGTTTTCGTGGTTATTGTAAAGGTCTCCATAACTTATATCTCTATAAATCCAATGCTGGGACCGCTTCACGGGCATCCGCTCAATATAATTTATTTTAGCAGATCTATTAGTGGATGTTCACAGCCCAGTCCATCTCAGTGCAGACTACCCTACTATAAAAGTTTGACCAGCCCTCTTTTAGCTGCTCCTAACCATCTTCTCCGCATTCTAAAATATCCCCGATTTTGATCCCGCCCACTTAAGTGAACCCCGCCACCTTCAGGGATTTGGCCACGTTCCTCCCAGTGCCTCCAAACTCTCTTTTCCCACGTTCAAGAACCAAATTATGATTTTTTGACCTTGGCCCCGCCCACTTTAGTGCTTGCCATCTTGCCGCACTGGTACGGCAGCGAGCCTCAGCGAGCCCTTTTCAGATTACGTCAACGGTGACGATTAACTCTACAAATCAAGGCTTAACCTCGCTTTCTCAGTCCTCTGTCGCCTTTTGAGAACAGTTCAAATCTTGGAATTCCAGCCTAATCCATTATGTAAGCGGTAACTTGGTATGTTTGTTTGTATGTCGGTTTGTGCGTTTTTCCGCGAAAGTCATGTAGGCACGATGAATGGTGTGAATGTCACGTGAGGAAGCAGTAAGGAAACGGATAGACTAACGATACTGTTTATATCGGTCTTCTAACAAGTAGTAGATTAGCGGTAGTGGGCATGTGATGCACACGTTAGCGTGCGTAGCTCAACTGGTACTAAATATTGAAGGGACACGTTGATCAGCAAAACCCTCATGATTCTGATCCCTTTCAGAGCTATCCGTCTTGCAACATCGAAATTTGCATCTGCTTCGCATCGTCATGCTGCTCGTCCAGTTCTTATAATCGTCGGAAGCACTTACAAGTTTGCTAGCAGTTATAGATTATTTTAGAATGTAATTTTAAACTAGTAAAGTATCGCTCTTTCCAAAAAGCCAGAATAGTCATTAGAATCTAAGAAAGAAATTGCAAAGATTTTCGAGGGGGGGGGGGGGGGAGCAATGATAACATTTTCCTAGAGCCCTAACCTTCTTTCTTTACAAGAAATAAGCTCAAGAAACAAGAAGAAGAGGAGAACACTATTTCTGTCAACTGCACAGTGTAGGTGTGCAGCTTACGGCTTGCAGTACATAGCAAGTAGGTAGGTACTACCAAACCGAAAAGTTTCGTCCGCTGCAGTCAATGTCCAGCTTCAAAGTAGGCAAAAGTATACGTCATAAGCCGAATGCGTAGGAACTACGTACCCATCTGGGACCAATTTTAACCTAACAAAGCCGAAATTCGCTTTCGCTGATAGGTGGGCTACATTTGAGTGCGTACGCCGGCCAAATCGGTTTTGAAGCCCTTTGTGCCTTGTCGGAGTAGTTTTTCGACCTGAAAGCGTCCTACGTGCTCTATTTGAGGGCCTAGGTTTATCTTAGTGTTAGGCGAGAATCTCAAAGACTGCTCTATGTGAACTGTGCCTTTAATGATTATTCGAGCGCAACTAGAACAACCTGGTTCATTGTGGTGTGCGAAGCTGTATATGGGGGAAAATACAAATGACATAGCATATTCGTCACTCTACAGTGATGATATTTCAAGGAGCGGTGGATACAACGATCCCACACAGGCAGCAAGCGCATTTCGTGAGTATGGCGGCACAATCATCACCATTGGTAAGTGAGAAGTGAGTCTTGGTGAAAATGCACACCGAAATGAGCATCCCAGTTGCTTTCCTCCGCGTATCGCATCTTATCATTATTCCCAATGGCGATAGGGTAGCACATCAAATTAAAAGTTTTGCAGATTATGTGCAAGAGCATGGATTAGCAGTGCCGTTACTGCGAACGCTGGCTTCACCGAATTACAATCTGACAAATAAAAAGGATGACGGCACCATGTTGCAAGCTGATGAATTACGTCGTCTGCTTTGTGAAGGTGAGATACAGCACACTACTTCCCCCACCCCTACAGTCTGCAATCTGGCATCCTCTTTTATCCTTCTCAATGAGATGAAGACGGCCTCCTCTTTTGAGTGGAGTCCTTTCCTAGTGTTTGCCAAGCCACATTCAGACGTTGAGAGCCATATTCGTTGACGTGTTTAATAGAATTCTTGGATGTAGATTTTCCTTTTTATCTGAGCGATACAAGTCTTGAAAGGGTTTCTTGAAGACTTCTTGAATAAGACGATGTCCTTGGCATATCCTCCGGGGTCGATCCCGAAGTCGTTCCAGTCGCACATAACAGAATCCACACAGGGCGGCTATCAAGCTGAGCGTTATCGGACCTGTTTGCTTCTCTTCTTCACCCTTCCTCCAGATTTTCGCCTTTTCTACAATATCGAAACTCTCCATGTAGTTCTTTCAAAGTCAGTAAATGAAGTACATTGGCAAGTTGGTTTATGGTCTGAATATCCGATGGAAATTTCTTCGCTCAATTGGCTGAGTCACTTTCAACTTCATCCATTCTCGTGCCATTACAGAGCTGGTAAACCCAGTGAAACACTGAATAGTAATAGGGCGAACTCCGTCACCGGCTGTTCAAATCTCCTGAAATTCACGTTTTGCAGGGTTAAATATGCACATCTCTTCGACCGATACCGCCAATGTTGTTCCTAGCCTTCCAAGAATATAAAAATTTCAGTGGATTCCTTATTAATGCTGGTTTCCGGTGAACAAATGTTTCGAAGCTTCCACTTTTTGACGTAATTTCAGCCAACTGCTTCTGCAGGACGAATTGGATGCCATACAACGCAGACAAATGGGATGCACCACAGGGAGGATGCTACTTTCCGGTCGGGATCTCTTCAATACAGGTTGGTCACATTGCACAGGTGTCCGAAAATGTTTTGGACTTTCAGTTACATCACTATCTTGCACAAAAGCTGATATCCACTGATGTCGCAATTGTAGTAGCTCAGTGACGAGCATGGTGGACTATGACACTATGTGTCACAATGAATGACACAAAGTGGCCCATAATCGCAAGAGCTCTACGAATTTTACGACGCAAAATCGTTAGGGAACGTCATTCCAGGGTTAGATTACAAGATACTCATCGCCCTTTAGCGGGGCTCCACTTCAACCAAACCTCAGTGTCAGGTAGTTGCGGTGTGTGCACCCATTGTACCGAACAGAAACTCAACCTCCCCTGCTTATACCGATGAGTTCTGATTTG